CCGCCCGTTCAGTTGATTTGGGTGAATCGTAAGCGAGCATCGAGCCGACTCCTCGAGTGACACGCTCTGTTGAAAGCGGGAAAAGTCTGCGAGAAAGGACGACGGCTTGGAACGAACGGTCGAGCAAGCAAGCAAGCCAGCGACCGCTCGCTTGCTTGCCATCCACCGGTCGGTATTTCAGATCACGTTGTAGGCCAAGCTTCGATATATTGGACAGGAAGGTCCCCGCTGTGTGAGTCCAGGGCAAACAGGAGACCGTAGCTCAAAGGAAGGAGCTGACAGAGTTGACACTTGCAGAAGTTGGTCCGCCCCAACACAGCTCGCCGACCTGTCCGCCCGGCCGTCGCTCGGTCCCATCGGCTTCATTTGGGGACGAGCTACTTTAACGGTCGCTGTCTCCGACAACGTCGGTCGGCACCGTCTCCTGGCACTACTACTGACACTGGCACTACCATCTGACACTACTACTTCTTCTCCTTCCCTTACTACTACTACTACTACTACGACTCCCACTACTAGAACTGTTCTCCTCGCCGACAATCCCCCTTCCCCTAATGCGCGAACCTTTCCTGACGCTTCCTCCCGTGCTATATCAGGAACGGGAAACGTTGATCGGAAAGACGAGACGGAGAACGAGGTTCGGATCTTGATTTCCCTCAAGCGGATCCTCGGGGAGGTGAAGTCACGCGGGAAGTTCTTCTCGGATGCCGACCGTGCCGCCCGACGCTATTTTTGCTCAACCGATCGATCGATTCACCTATCCCGATACCTCCTGTTCCCTCAGAATTTTCCCCGGGACGAAGTCAACTTCTCCTTCCGACCCGTCCAGGCTAAATGATCGTTTGATTAGACTCGATTAGAGTCGCGTCGAGGAGGCAAAGAAAAAATGAGGAGATCGGAAGACGTGCAGGTGGACTGGAACTTGCGCGGGCTCTCTCGTGCGCTGGCTGCTCGCTCTAATCGACTTCGCCGCCACTCTGAGAACGCGGTGTCGGCGGATCCAGAAAGGAAGAAGCAGGAGGAAGACGAGATTTTTTGCACAGAGATCACTTCATCATTTCCGAAGGATAGAGAGACAGTGAGGAGCTCCGCATATTGATTCTCGTTACAGAGTTTGAGTAATTAGACGACGGTTCGCTCGACTCTGCACGCTCGTCCGCCGGCCCGCCCTTCCAACAGCCTGCACGCCCATCGCTGTTCCTTATTTTCGCTGCAGGTGGGATTTCTCCACGGAAAATGAGGAATACGTCTCCCCACTCCTCTGTATCTCTCGCTTCCTTGACTCTGTCGGTCGCCTGTGTACAGCTGTGGCAGTCTCATCAAATTTCAACAATGAACGAAATTCATAAGCGTATGATTCTTTTTGCAGCAGAAGTTTCGTCAGCTAGAGTTCCCTCATTCGTCTATTTTCATAGTCTGCCGCTCGTCCCTTGGTTCTGTCCGGTCTCCCGGCCAAAACGTGGCTGACCCTAGACCAGGGAACGCGCCCCCCCTCAAAAAGGATAATCAAGAAGAGGGAGAGACGATCCTTTTCCTCCATGGGAGACTCCTGACGTCGTCGTTGTCGCCGCCACCGCCAGCGAGTCTGATGGTCGGGGTCCGAAACTTTGAGTTTGGTCAAAAGTGTCGCTGCGCTCCCTCGATAGGTTGAACGGTCGGTGGTGGCGGCGGCGGCTAGGTGACTGACGGACGGACCCACGGACGACGAAAGGCAGAGTTGACAGGTTCAGGCCGTACGGAAGCACCGGCGTTGGCTGGCGACCGAGGTGAACGGAGAAAAATAAGAACGAGAAGAAAACTGAGCGGCCAGCGGACGACGCCATTGTGGCCGCAAGCCGAGCGACGGGGCCGGGGTACCTGATGAAGGCCGCCGGTCATCATTCGGCCATTAGAGCTTACGAACCACCTCCCGGCTCTCGTTTAGCCCGCGCTATACTATCCGTTGAGGGACGAACGGAGCAAACACGTAGCCCACGAAGAAGCTGACAGAAACTCTCGAAAGTTCCGAGTGAGCCACATGTGGGCAAGGCTCCGCGGACTTTTGACGAGTGGACGCACTCATAACAACGCTCGGGGCGCAGCTTGTGATCCTGACTCCAGACCAGCCTACAGACAACTTCTCGTTTTGATCACCTTCTTCGGAGGTCTTCTGCGATTTTCCTGACGTCTGCCGTCCCTTCGTTGATGGAGTCGCGAAGTCTTCGCCAATCATGGGATCATCGAGATATTGGTTTCGGGGAGAAGTCTCACAGCAAGGCTTCGGGTGCTCGCGACGTCCCGTCGGAGCGATTGCTTCGAGCATCGGGGGGAAGCAACGACGAGACGGATGCACGAATCTATCTACGAATATCTCCATGGGATCTTGCCGGCGAGTGCGGACATCAGCGTCACAATGGGGTGGGAGATGGAGAAAGCCACACGGACCATCATTGCCGCGTCGCCACTGGGAAAAGGATCGGTCCCCCTCAAGGAGGCTTGCTTGCGAAAAGACAACGCCGAAAGAACAGATGAACAGTCGGGGTGCTTGCGAAACGAGCAGAACACAAGAAGAATTATTGCAGTTCGGCAGAGCGCGGTCCGCGTCAGTCGCAAGGAGAGGTCCGAGAGAGAAGGGAGCGGCGTCTCTCGTGATGCTTTGCTCCTGATTCCCTTCGCTCGGCTCTCTTTCAACCGCTCGCGCTCCTTCAACCTATCCACTGTCCACGCACATAATTGAAACATTCTCCTCCCTTGGAGGTCCGATTGCAGAAGAACTAGAGTTCACATGGCCGAAATCTATTCGACGGAAGTTTTTTGCTCTTCAATTAAATCTAGGCCCGCATCCTGCATGATATGCGATGCGACATTTGAATTGCTTAGTCCGCCACATCAGTCTAGGATCAAGGTGTGAGCCGGCAGCTTGCCGGCGATAATTCTAGGTTCGATTTTTGTCGAAGAATTGAGAGAGGGGAGCCCCCTCATCTAGCGAAGTTTCGACCTAGAATTCGACGGCAATGGCATTCGATCCCAATGTAGAATCGGGATGTCTGCCGAGAAATTCAGGAGAATCGAAACGCAGAAAGGACTCCGGACTCACCATGGCGCTGAATCCAAGCGGGATCTAGGCCTCGCTGCGTGGCCCATCTCAAGAAATCAGCTAGAACCCCGCGTCAAAGGAGGAATTATCGGGGATCATCCCAGAGTACTTCGTATATATGTTTATCATCTCAGAATACTTCGTATTATGTTTATCATCTCAAAGGAATTAATGGAGAGGCCTAATAATCAGATGAACGATCACGCGCCGCGCCGATTCCACGCCGGTTCCGCGGCGTTCCATGAACAGAGACATTCTGCACATTGTCCCATACATACGTGGGTTCCAGAATGAATTTTCCGCGGGTATCGGTATCGAGTGCCTTCAGTATCTCTGTGTGATCCTGACGTCAGCTCGCCGATCTGACATCGTACTCCTTGGAATCAATGTATCTGGAGGGGTTTGCTGTTCCTGTCTTGATCTGTTCCGGGGGGATTCTCCGCCAGTTTGAATTTGCAAGAGCGACAGGAAATCATCTCAGAAGCGTAGAGACGGGAATTCAACGAAAACTGAGGAATCTCTAGGGAAGCATATCCCCGAAGATCAGTGCAAACGTTAGAGGAACCGAGAAGAATACGAAATCAGCTTGAATGGACGAGCAGCTCAGGAGGGAACCTCTTCTCTCGATTCCATTCCGAGTGGAATTTCGGAGGCCATCATTTTCGAATTTCCGGTGGGAAAGCAAGCGGGAAACGTCTATAATACGAGGAGGTGATTGGATTTCTAGGCATCCGAATGCAACGATACTCTCCTGCGGGCGGAGAATATTCTGAGGATGAGAATCTCAAGCGAGTCGGATTCGGCGCGTAATTTCCCGAAGGAACGGCTCTTGCCCGGTCCACTGGATCAGACAGCAAATAAGTGATGTTGAGTTATCAGTACTGCAGCACGATGGAGTTTATCTAAGCGCTGACATCGAGACGGAAACGATTCGCGAGCTGCGAGGGACTCAGGGAAAGGAACGAGGCGACGACGACGACGCAGAGGAACACTTGCTCGCCGAACCCTCACTCGTTCACTGGTCCAGTGTATTGATTGCGAACAATCGAAATACAATGCCCTAGAGGCAAGCGTTCTGCAATTTGCAAGCCTGTCCCGGGATCGTTGGAGGCAAGCGAGCGGGCACGCCGCGGCGTCGAGCAAGCATGGGACCATAGAAAGCAGGGAGAGAGTGAACTGACTAGACGCGTGGCTAGTTGCCTGCTCCAGTGGATACGAGGCAGCAGTCGAATCGGATTCGATTCCAGGGTTGTAAACCCAGTGAGACGACTAATCCACTTTGTTGCCTCCTTCATTGGCTGTTGCCACAATGCGAGGAAAGATTGAAGAGCGACAATGAGGACCTGCCAGACACAGGATAGCAAAACATCGACAACTGTGAACAAACACCCCGACGACCACCGAGGAGAAACAAAGAGCCCGGAACTTTCGACGTTGATGAAATCAATGGCTATTTCCTCGTGTACGAGAAGTCGCGTCTCTCGACCCCAGCGACTCACGATCAGGACTTTCTGTTGTTCATATTCTTCTGCTAATTCGCACGTCGAGATTAGAGATCCGGAGTGCCTACTCTCGAACTCTCACATACGGAAATATGTCGCCTATACATACCCCGGCGGAACTTCTGTCTCAACTTCTGAAAGCTTCGTCATTGAGCCGTCAGCGCCCTCACTAGCGACTCCCTCACAAGATTCTCCCTCGCTGGCCACTGAACACTGTTAGTGGCGAAGCGAATGGAATAGCTAAGAGTCAGCTAGCCGAGAAGCCAGTAGATCTTTTCCCCGGAGCGGCTATTTCTTCTTCTTCTCACGCGACGACCTTGAGCCAATCTCAATATAAAAAGACTCGTCCGGTGATTCCATCATTGAACGAGTCATTCCGCTCTGTCCGGCAGTTCGAGAGTTTTGATTTTTGGCTCATCTAATCAGTTCGCGGAAGATGAAAGCGAGACCCGCGCATGCTCTACTTGTTGCCCTTTTCCTCATATCGTTCCCGGAGGCATCCAATCAGCAGTACTACGGAGGAGGGTGAGTACCTACTCGTGATATTCCACGATTTCCACTCTTCTGGGCACTGTCACGGAACTAATTCCACTCTTCAGCACTCCGTCCGGGAGCTATTATTATTAGGGCTGGAGATGATTCCGCTCACCAAGATTTCTGCGCGAATTCTTTCCCGAATACCAATGACCAATGAGTACATTGAAATTCCGCGAGAAATTCCCACAGATGAGTCTCTAACTCTGTCCGTGAGTTTTGCGAAAACGCTCTTCGCCCGAAGAGAATCGGGAAGTTGGCTATTCGACTGCTCTGTAGGAGGCTTCTAGGAGAGTGGGATCCCGCGAATCCTCAAAGTTTCCCCCTCTGAGCCCCTGCATTGGCAGAGCTCATCGAATGATGTGCGAGTCGGCGGAGCATTCGTCAAGAAAGGACGCCGAACGATGGCTGATTTCCAATTAAGTCTCTCCCGATTACGATTGCAGACGAGACACGTATTACCCCTCTAATGGGCCTGCATCCGATCCAAATTACTACGAAAACTACTACAAGTACACACATAACAAGCTACCCAGCACCGGTTACTATGGATACGCATACGGTGGACCTAACGGCTATGCTGCACCTCCGGGCAACTATGATAGGTAAATAAAGTTCTCTTCCCAAGCTCAAGAATCTCCCAACGGTGGGTGGAAATTTGTGAGCATGCTTCTCCAATTCAGAACCCGCCTTCATCAGAAACAGCCTGATTGATTGAGCGAAATCAATGATGCGCCTTCCCGCGTCACCGTGGAATTTGTCCACTCTCGCAAGCGGGAATAAGTACGAATGGGACTTTAGACTCGATCGTATTCGAACGATGGTCGAGGCCATGCGATTGATCGCAAATCGGATCGGTCCTAAATCTCAGAGAAGGGTTTTAAGAGATGGAAAATTGCTTCCAGACGAGGATACGAAGGCCGATCGGCAGGCTACCCCGATTACGGACGAGATTACGGACGGGATTACTACGATTATCGCTACCCGAACTACAACGCATACAATGGCTATCAGCGGAATTATTACGACGACTATTACAACAGAGGGGGACGTTCTTACGACGGATATGGCTGGAATCCCCGATACGATTACGACGTCGGGCGGAGGTGAGTGTTAGTTTCCGAAATGATACCGGACTGATGCGATTCAGCTCCGGATTATTATCGATACATTCGTCCAGCTCTGGCTCAATCCTCAACGCGTTGAGCCCAAGCAAACGACGTCGGTAACACTCGGGAGCGGCCGAGGATGTTCTCACGGAAAACACTCCTTCTCGCGTGTCCATCGATATCGATACAGTGTGTCACGTCTCAGAACTCGAGGAATCGGAGCCCTCCCTCCTCCTATCTACAGAATGACGCCCGTCGTGGCATCGCTTCGATATGTGTTCCCAGCGCGAGTTGCTGAGACAAGCAATTTCTGATTTGTTGTTTACTCTGGATTAGGATGAAGAAAGTTGTGAATAGATTCCGTGCGATACGCGACGATGAAGACACAAGGTCGTCGAACGAAAACGCATCGTTCTCTCGCTCCGCGTTGTTGAGCACAAAAACCCATTGGCTCCCTTCTCCTCTTCTCTGGTGTTCTTCTCCGACCGAATCTGATGCCTGTCGCGCAAGCAGACTTTGTCGCCGCTCTCGATCAAAAGCTTCTGGAAACAGCATTAAAGATACTCTCCGCACGCGGAGACTAGCACAAAAAAACCCTCAACAACAACGGCAGAGCCCGCAGCCGCAGAATGACGAGGAGAGAAAAGGGAGGCTCGAGACAAACATATTTCTTTCTTCTGAACTCATCGTCGTCTCGATTGACTGAAGAAGGAAGGAGTTGTCACTCAATTGTGCAGGCGGTTTCTGGCGACTTGGTGCTCCATCAGAAGTATAATTTCATTCTGACTGCAGTCGTAAGCAGCGGACATTACACTCTTTCGGGGAAAAGAGCGGGCTGGTGTTCTCTACTCGCTTATCGACGGCCGACGTTCGTACTTCGAGAGCTTAGAGGTGCATATTTGGGACTGTATTGATTTTATTCCTTGTTTGTTCTCCAAATGAATGTTTCCCTTTCAAGGTACCCGGTCACGCCAGGGTATGGAAATTATGATTATTTCTACGGAAGGAGCTCGAGAGATAGCAGCGTAAGGAACGTGGATCCCTTCCCGGGAAAATATCTCGGCCTCGGCTCCGTTCAGTACAGCTCAGGGGGCAGAGACGTTGAGCTGCTGTGCACATTGTCCAAAGACGGCCAGAAAGTCGTGTCGGTGAGAATTTTCGCAATGACTCCAAGTCTAAGTGGCTCAATGAAACTACAAGCCCAGATGATTTCTCCAATATTCCGCTGATTATTCATCGCCCGGCGAGGGTTTTCGGAGGCGTTGCGTTTCCCAATCGGAATTATCTATCACGGAATTTCCCTCCTGTCCAGAATGTCGTATGGGTCAAGGTGGAGAACGCATATCGTTACCCTGGACCACCTGGCGGCCCTGAAGTCAATCCGTACTACTGTCCCAGCGGAGGCTGCATCTACCGACAAGTCGATTACAGCAACAGACGGTATCAACCAATGATTTTTTTGCCGCTCAGTCCGAGCATCCGTTTTCGTGTCTGGGCCGCCGCATCCTGTCTGGAGGCTCACCATCCCGCTCAGGTTCGAATTATGATGAGAATGAGTACTTTCAGGTTCTTCGCCGATCTGCACGGCGACGTGGCAACCCTGCACATCTACGACACCGAACCCCAGGATCATGGTGTGTACCGGTGTAGTGCTGCCGGGCAGACTTCGAAAGCAACGGAGACTGAAACCACCTTCCAGATAGTTGAATATTTCAATTAGCCGGACTAGCAGAGCCACCGTCGAAAACTCCGTCGTCTTCGACTTCCGCGAGCCAACACGTCCCGGACTCAACTGCCACCACCTTTGCACGGGTTTCGATGATTTGGAGAGAAAGACTACTCGACCTAGACTCCGCTTCCGAATAGTTCTGTTCCGTTCGAAGGGAGCTCTGGGAAGAGTGTTGAGCGTTCTTCCGATTCCGACATCAGCGGCGCGCCGTAACCTGATCGAATGAATGTAATGAATCCCTTCCTCATTAGGATGCTACAAAAAGCTTTCCTCTTTCATTAGGAAGTTGTTCTTCGCTTTAAAGATCCATAAAATGCTTTTACGATAGTTTTTAACCAACCCACCTAGCCGCGTCGAGCAGAGATCACGCAGCGTATGGACGAAACCGTCGAAACGAGCACAACCTAGTTACTAGCCTCATGAAGCTTCCGCGGCGACAACACGAGACTACTGAATCTGCGTGGCTTCGAACAAACCGCCGAATCCCTCCTGTGCCTCGATCAACAAATTTGCACTAACTCGGCTCATGAATCACTGCAGTGAGGACATGACTGAATCACATGAGACCTCGGATGCATGTCGAGAGCGAATAAAGATCGATTATGACTAACTTCTCGTCGGTTATTCGTGGGTTTTGCCTAGCTCGGGGCCACTTTCTTCCGAGTCCGATCCCCGATGCTCCAGACGAAGCGCGAAAAATGGTTTCGGATCGAGTCGCTGCTGACCCGACCGCGGGCTTACCGTCCGCGCTCCGAATTGAATCATCTTCCAGCCTTACCGTATTCCACTGTTTGCCCTATTCAAACTCTCATTCCTTTCTTCGCTAGCTTATTACCTGCGCTCCGCCTGACTGGTAGCTCGGATGGAATTCCATTGCGCCTCCACGTTTTAAGTCCACTTATAAATCAGCTGAAAGTTTCGTTCGCTCACTGTAACGAATTACTGGACGAAGAAAGGGAAGAGGAACGACGATGATGAGACGCCCACAGAGGAAAGTGATGATTCCGGTAGCACTAACCTTAATAAGTTCTTCGCCTCGGAAGCCCGCATACTGAGTTTTCAATGACATGAATGAAGGCGATAGAGGTTGCTCCGCCGGGCGGCCGCTCAAAAGAGTTTCGCGCCGAGGAGCGCTCGTTCCCGACCTCCTCCAGTCGAAAAAAAAGCGGATATCGCTTTATTTAAACTCACCCGGCGTGCTCTACTTTGAATGGAGCCGTGTCCGAAAATTTCAAGTCGACGACGGAATCGTGGATTCTAAGACTGGCTGTTTAGTTGGAGTGGATTTCAATCTGCTGTATCGGCATCGTTTTTCACTCGGCCGAGGGCTCGACCCCACTCTAAAGCTCCTCTCACACCTCTCGTCGAAATGCCCTGGACCCGCGCGGAGGGAGCGTAAACAAAGAATGAGCTTAGTTCGTTAAAATGGGAGATCTTCTGCATTAAACACTCTTCGCGTTCCTCTTCTCTTAGGCCGACGAACGAGCCCGACTGGCCGATCGGGGAGCGATGTCGCTCCTGAGGCTAAAGTCGCTTTCAATTTCTTTGATGATGTTATTTAATGATATTACGGCGGCGCAGCGGCCGCTGCCGCCACTGTGGCTTCAAAGCGTTCGGTTCCTTCGTTCGTTGGCTCGTCCTTCGGGGATAGAAGTTCTTCTCTTCGTGTTCCTCGGCGGCGGCCGCTGCCTCCTCCTGCTAGTGCTCTCCGTTCTCCCTTTTACAGTGCGCGAAAAAAGAATTTGCATGAGAATGGCTTTGCTTCTCCCGATAAACTGCAAGAGAGGAGAAACCGGCCGACGGGCCAGCCAGCCAGCCGGCCAGCCAACCGACTAGCCAGCAAGTCTGAACGGGAGCCGGCATGCAGGAAGGCGAGCAGGCTCGCAGGCAAACCTCCCAAGTTTTATCGAATACAGAGGGCTCTCGCGCAGCCGACGACGATGAGGAAGAAGACTTCGACAACGACGACGCCGAACGAACCGAAGAACCAACGAACGAGCAGAGGCCATTTCTCTTCTTTTTTGCCGCTGCCGCCGCCGCTAAGAGTGTATGGCTTGAAATTGCACTCAATCTCAGAGATTGCCAAACCCAATAGCGATAAAGCGATCAACTTACTTATCAGACAGACGACGTCGGAGCCGCGCGCTCGGGATGAAGGAGATCGGGAAGAGAAAAAACGAGAAAGCACCGAATGGGTGAGTGAGCAAGAGAACGCACGACGACGATGCCGACGAAGCACTCGTAGCGGCGACGGTAGCAGCAGCGGCAGCAATAGTTCGGCATCGCACACACTCGACGGTGGCACCAACAATAGCTATTGGGAAAAACCTGCCGACTTTTTCGCATCGCTCAGAGCTTTGAACTCGTTCAGCTGAGATCTCGAGTTTCGGCGCGTACATAGTAGTGAACTTTTGGAACGTATCCTTAAGCATGAAAAATTCCGAGAGTTTTCTAGGAAAAAATTCCGAGAGTTTTCTAGGAAAAAATTCCGGAACTCCCGCCAAGGTTGCCGGAGTACGTGGTTACGTTCACTTGACGGAATGAAATGTCGGCGCGAGAGATCCGGCTCACGATCGCTGAAGTCCTTGCTCGGTCTCACTTCCCTCTTGACTGAGTTTCCGTTTCTGTCCTCCATACTCACCACCGTGAGCACCGGATGGGCGGCTCGAGTCTCCTCGACCAGCTCCAAGCCCAAATGCTCCCTCGACCCTCTTTTGGGACAGAGCTCGCGAGCTAAGTGAGTTACGGGTTTTTGCTGAGAGACAGATGGATGTGATCGACTTGGGGAGAAATCCCGGAGAAGAAACAAGCTCTGAACCACAATCTGAGGGGGATAAGCTATTTCCAGTATTGATGACGACTACAAGACGTCGAGTTCTCGCAATGGACTGGACCTTTTTCTGGCTGCGTGCTACACGTCAATCCTTTCGGAAACTTCCCAGTTATCGCGAGGATACGTGTCCCCTCACGAGTCTCCATGACGGTCCTGGAAGCCCTCCGAGGCCTCTCCACGAACAAGATCCCCTACGCGAGCAGAGCCGTCATTCCAACTCATCCAAGACTTCCGAACATGGTGTTATCATTCAGTCCGTGTTTTACACGCCTCGCTCTCTGATCGGCTCGTGGCGTCGTTCCATGGAGGAGGGTAGGCTTCCGGAGTCGCTCGACTCGATCTCGACTCGAATTCAATAAAATGTCCAGGAAAGAGAGGTACATTTGTAGGCGTTTTTCCTGAAGCCTAAACATCGACTCGCCATGCCTCCCCATCCCTATCTGACTGTAATTTCCCCAAGGACCGGAGCGGAAGGAGGCAGCGGATGGGAAAAACTAAAAGGGAGAAGTAGGCATATGTAATGGCGTTCTGCCAGTGGTCGGGCCAGACTCGCTCCAAGTCGATCCGGCATATTCACAACTCGAATGTTTTTGCCTCGTGGAAGTAAACTTGCTGTTCCAGCTCCTCCCGACGACACCTATTTCGACTCAGAACATCGCTCCACAGCGCGGTCGCGGGGCAGACGTTCGGAATCACAAGACACCTAGAGCACCGGTGGGCATGCGGCGGGATGAGTCCGTTCGAACCTCCTCGTCTCTGGGGGGTATCGCTCAAGACGGATCGGAGCCCTGTCTCCGATGGAGGGACCAAACGACCGCTGTTCGGTGCTCATGTGGACGTGAGTCAACGAGGTTCGAGGGATACGAGGAGGAACGTGAAAAAGCGTGCAGAGCATGCGCCGATGCGCTTCCCCGAACCCCTAGCTCAACTACGGCAGCTTCGGAATCGGCCTCATCTCTCGGAGGAGGACCTGAAGTTTTCCCGAGCCATCACGGCGAGGATGATGGAGAAATACTCCGTGAATCTTCTTTAACTCTCATACGTCTGGGCTCGCTTTTCGAAGTGGGTGCTCGTCAATTTTTCCCCAATTTCTCCCTGGACGGGAGAGGGCTCTGAATAAGTATATGAGAGGGAATAGGGTCATCATGGATGTATACTCGGAGACAGGCCGACACCCGTACTCTTTCGTCGTCCGCGACTGCCGCATCAACATCAAAATATGGTACGGCCCGCGCGACCCACCATGTGCTGAACAAAGGGCTCTCAGTCAATGGATTCGAAAGCTGGAAGCCCCTGAGTTTCGGTAGAGTTGATTGATTTTTTAGGAGCAGCGACGTCGACTCATTAGAAATATTTGTGATCCCGCCATGAATAGAGAACGAGAAAAGACACGGCCGAGAACTGAGTTCTGAGTACTTTGCCTGGTATGGCAGGCTCGACGTCAAGTTCAAGAAAGGAGTTTAAATTCCGAGACCATTCATTCATTCGCACGTCACCACGACTCGATAGGACCCTCGACCGTCGGAAGCCTTGCAGGAGCCTTCATAAAATGATTACCGGGGTTCTGCCTGGACTCCGAGACGAGCAGCGGTCGCGCGAGATTCCGCGACGAGAGGATGAGCCAGTCGTGTGGACTTTGCGCAGTGACTTCGACAAAGGACTTCGGACTCTCGGGTTTTCGGTATTGTTCGAACTGGTCGATTTTCTGACAGCTGACCATGAACAGGGGAGTCTCAGTGATCGGCTCTGCCATGGAGGGAGGGGGTTCTCGCGCTCGGCTCCTTCCTCCGATTTTCCACACCTAAGCTCACGGTGTAGTTTGAGGTGGAAATATCTTTTTCTTTCCAAGAATATTGGAAATCGCTCTGGAGGCGTCTGATCACAGATGGCAGAGTCAGCGAGAATATTCACTATTCGATTTAGAGTCCGTCCGGTCTGAGCTCGTTGCTCGAAATATTAAAGTTTTTTCTTCTCTCCCATCGATGCTCGTGCACTCAGAGCCTCTTGAAGCCAAGTGTTCGCAAGCTAACGGCCTCTTTGCCTCCGGCAAATTTCCTCTCCCAGAAAGCTGCAGAGCAAGCACCGCCCGCAGACTTTGAAACAACAGATTTCGCAATGCAGATCGAGCCAAAATTACTCCGAGCAAAACCTCAACGTG